ACAAACCCCGGCAAACATTGGATATACCGTGGGTGTTTCACATGAATTTTCTATAGCTTCCCCAAGTGAGTGGGTTATAACCCTAGTTAGAAGTGGGGAAAAAATTACTTTACTTCGTGTGATCCCCACCATGACATTTATACATTTTGTTACTGGCAAATCTTCTGGCATTCTATCTGACATATTTTCTGGCATTCGATCTGGCATTCTATCTGGCATATCTTCTGGCATTCTACCTGGCATATCTTCTGGCAGATGTTCTGGCATATCTTCTGGCAGATGTTCTGGCATATCTTCTGGCATATCTTCTGACATATGTTCTGGCATATCTTCTGGCATTCCATCTGGCATTCTATCTGGCATATCTTCTGGCATATGTTCTGGCAAATCTTCTGGCATTCCATCTGGCATTCTATCTAGCATATCTTCTGGCATATTATCTGGCAAATCTGCTGGCATTCTATCTGGCAAACATTCTGGCACTTTATCTGGCATATCTTCTGGCATTCTAGCTGACATTCTATCTGGCATTCTATCTGGCATACCTTCTGGCATTCTATCTGGCATATCTTATAACATTCTATCTGGCATATCTTCTGGCACTCTATGTGGCATATCTTTTGGCGTGGATACTCGCGGTTGAGGTCCGGCAGGGAACACTGGGCGTGGATGGTCGTGGTTGAGGTCCGGCAGGGAACACTGGCACGTGGGGGATGGTCGTTGGTTGAGGACGGCAGGCGAACACGGGAGGGGAATGTGTGGGGGGGTCGGGGGGGAGGGAAGGCAAGGAAAAATGGGAGTGGCGTGGTAGGGTGGTTGGAGGTCATCCGGCCGGCAGGGAACACTGGGCGTGGATGGTCGTGGTTGAGGTCCGGCAGAGAACACTGTGGATCGCGGGTCGCAGTTGGACGAGGACGACGAGGACGACGAGGACGACGAGGACGACAAGGACGACAAGGATGACGAGGAGGACGAGGAGGACGAGGAGGAGAGGAGGAGGAGGAGGAGGAGGACGAGGCAGGAGGAGGCAACTGACATAAAATCTAACAACCCTCACCTGGCAGGTGGGGAAAAACCCTACAAAACGCCCACTAACAAAACTAGGATTCACTAGGGTCATAAAAGTTCTAACCTACTCTCTAAGTGGGATGAACCACCAAATAAGTCTATAATGAGGATTTACCCCCTGCGAATTTCACACAGCCTGCGAAAGTGCTTATATGCTGTAATGATTAGGGATGATCATGGGATAGTAATTGTGGTTTTATTTGACTTCATCCCAGGAATCGTGGGTTAATTCACCCCAGTGATAAGTGGACATTGCCGCAACTTAGCCCATTGAAATCATTATAACATACTTACTAGCTGGGATTAACCACCAAGTATTCTGTTGCCATAAATGGGAAAGACAAAAGTATGGTACCCTGCTCAACCCCCAAAATCACTTGCAAAAGAATTGTTCATCCCTTCACCTAATAGTGGTTTCATCAACACAATGTTTCATTTTTACCCTCTAGTAAACGTTTACATAGTTTGCTATGGAAAATCACCATGAATTCAAGTTCGGGAAATCCACTAAAAATCAATGGTCATTTAACCAGTAGTTTTTTTAGATGGACTCTTCAGGTCATTTGAAGGCACAAATCATCTCTAAAGAAAGGCACTGGTTCATCATCCATTTTCCCATTAAGAAATGTGATTTTCCATAGTTATGTGTATGTTTTACCAGAGGGTACTTGGCGGTTCATCCCAGGAATCGTGACCGGGTCGGTCAAATCATCCCGGTTTCTCGTTTTGTGGCTAGTGAACATGATGACATGGCCCCATCGCACTAACAAAACTAGGGTGAACTAACTTAGGATTTGTGCGTATCACCAAGTAGAAGAATGCTATCGTCTTCTGCGGATTGAAAAAATGGCAATGGAAGGTTCACCTTTTGAGATCAAGTTTATACTATGGCTGTTTTGTGGTTTGGAACATTTTCCATTTTCCATAATATAGGGGACAATCCTTCCCATTGATTTTCATATTTTTCGGAGGGGTTGAAACCACTAACCAGATGGATAATTGGAAAATCTGCGCCAGTTGATGGTAAACATCCCCTTATAATCCCATCAAAGTTACCCTCTTGGTATTTTAACACAGCTATTGAAACTTGCCCACTTATATATCGTTGATTTACCTATCAAAGATATAGCTACTGGAAATGACCATTGATTTTTTGTGGATTTCCCTTTTAAAAATGGTGATTTTCCATAGCAAACTATTAGTTTAGAGGGTATCAATAGTTTCCAACTGGTTCCACAGATCCGTCAGATGAACTGGTTCCGCTTCCCGTGTCATCAACTGGGAAACCATCTTCCAGATGGAGCTTCATCAGCTACCTCTGATGGTTTTCACCTGTTCTAACCCTACACTCTGGTAATTTGTTACATAGCGACCTGGAACATGGCCCATTTAGTTCGTTGATTTACCTATTCAAAAAGGTGATGTTCCATAGTTTTTTTGTATGTTTACCAGAGGGTATATTTGGAAGATTTTGGATGTCCGATTGCCACTGAAGGGCACGCTGTGGTGGCAACATATGTGAGGATGCGCGGCCCAACCCATCGAACTAGCTCATGGAAACACTTCTGGTTTATAAGTCCAATAACTTTCTGGTTGGTGGTTTGGAACATTTTTCCTGTTTCCATATAATGGGGATAATCCTTCCCATTGACTAATATGTTTTAAGATGGTTAAAACCACCAACCAGAATAACTTTGTGTTCTGGATGTTGGTAAATATATCTATAGTTACTGTATGTTCATGGGGTCTATACGTCATCAAACAGAACTGGGTCGCACCACCTTCTATATTCTTCTTAGGAACGCAGATTGCTGTCCCTTTTAGCCCTGCGAATGGTTTTCGATCATGGAGTTTTAAAGGCAGATCTTTCTTCGAGGAGTTCATAAAAAAGAATATGGCCTCGGTATGGACAATGTCGTGTCAATATTATTCATTTTGCTGAAACATGCTATAGTTCATATGAGTGTATATTATATATACATATGTATGCATATATATATGTATGTATGTATGTATGTATGTATGTATGTATGTATGTATGTATGTATGTATGTATGTATGTATGTATGTATGTATGTATGTATGTATGTATGTATGTATGTATGTATGTATGTATGTATGTATGTATGTATGTATGTATGTATGTATGATGTTGTAATGTATGTATGTATGTATGTATGTATGTAGTATGTATGTATGTACTTGTATGTAGTATGTATGTATTATGTATGTATGTAATGTAGGTATGTATGTATGGATGTATGTATGTATGTATGTTGTATGTAATGATTGATGTATGTATTGTATGTATCTGTTATGTATGTTATGTTAGATTGTATGTTAGGTATGTAGTTATGTATGTTATGTTAGTTGTATGTTATGTATGTATGTTGATGATGTATGTTAGATGGTATGTATGTATGTATTGTTATTGGAGTATGTATGTTATTGTATTTGTTATGTATTTGTAGGTAATGTATGATGTAATAATGTATGTATGTAATGTATGTATATGTAATGTAGGGAGGGAGGGAAGGGAGGGGTGGGTAAGGGTATTTGTAGGGGAAGGGATGGAGGGAAGGTAGGAGAGGTTGGGGAAGGGAGGGAGGGGAGGGACGGGAGGTAGGGATGCGGCATAGTAAGGGTGTCAGTACAGGAGAGGATAGATTGATAGAGACAGAGGATGTATATATATATTGTACATATGTATGTATGATTTTAAATATATATATATATATACATATGTATGTATATATATATGTATACACCCTGGTAATCAAACATGGCAATGAAAAATCCTATCTAAATTTTAAGCCTTGCTTTGCTGTTGTCACATCATCTATAGAGGCTTCGCAATTTTCCGCCGATCAGGTTCTGATTGGCAACTGGGATCCTGGAACCCGGCAGAGAGTTGGTATTTGAACACTTCTCCATCCCTGTTTCTTAGCTGAACCCCTAGATTTAATGTCAAGCCCCAGGCTACACAGCTGTTTTCTTCGCTGGAAAGGTACCCTCTGGTAAACATACAAAAAACTATTGAAAATAGCCAATTAGTTCGTTGATTTACTGATTAAAAATTGTGATGTTCCATAGTTTTTTGGATGTTTACCAGAGGGTACCATGACTAAGCATCATTCATCATGACTACTGACGGGTACGTACCCCGAATCAATAAACCATTGTTTGACATAATCCAGGGTTGACATTCAGATATGGCGATTTTCATCAGAACCCCCGGATGGTACACTAAGTCAGAGCAGACGAATGGATGTGTATTTCTCCCAAATATGGTACCCTCTGGTAAAACATACACATAACTATGGAAAGATCCACCATTTTTCATTGGAAAACCCACTATTTCGAATGGGCCATTTTCAATAGCTATTTTGACATAACCGGAGGGTAATAGGTTTCGACCCATCCGCAGGTTCTTCAAAGAAAGATCTATAGTTCTCCATAAGTTGGTCCCATTCCAAGAGATCTGGACAGAAAAGTTACTAAGTTGCTCTGTGTGTTAGAAAGCCCGATGTTGAGCTTTGTCGGCTTTGTTTTATAGAGCTCTCATGTTCTACCGCGGGGGTACCATAATTGTCTCACCATTGTGAGATGTCCTCTTGTGTTGGTGGAGTTGGCGATGAACACCTTATGTTTCCAATGGGAAATCCACCAGTACGAATCGATTTAGGGAATATGAATGTTTTGGGGGTTGAGCAAAACCCAGAAGTTAAGATAAGTTAAGTGTGTTTGATGGCTACAAATTGGAAGGTACAAAAATTGAACAAAGTTACAGTGACCTGGCCAGTCAGCAACACAAACAATCAAGACAAGCTATTGAAATCGGATGAAATCGGCATTCTTAGTGGCCGTTTTTTCCACAATAGCTTCAAATTAAGTGGATGCTGCAAATCCCCCTAGTTAGTGCTACAGCGAATTCTGCATGTTGTACCCCAAAAACAATCAAGTCCATAGTGTTCATCCTGCTTTCATAGTGCCAAAAATAATAATCATGGTTTGTAAGTTCCCCAGTTTAGTTATGTGTTAGTTATCTCATCTATAGTTCTGTTAGTTATGCCATATGTTTATATATATTTATATATATATATAGGTTATCCCCCATATACACTAACTGGGTGGACGAACTGGGTCCTCAACAACTGATCCCAATGGGAAAATCCACTACGACTGGGGAAGAATCCACTAGGACTTGGGCATGTTTCTTTGGGGCTCCAGCAAATCCAAGTTTTTCTTCATGCCTCAGATATGGGTGTGGTCCAAGTTACCTGAAAATGCTGAATTTCACAATTGCTGTTGGGAAACTGAGTTTCCAATTCATCCAATTGTGTGGTTACCATTTTTTCATACAAACCTTGAATTCTTTGGCTCATTTAGTTTTAATAGTTGAGAATTCATATAACCTTTTTTTGGCTTTCCAAAGCCAGTTCAATCTTGAAATCTCTGACTCCTAGAACTTTTAGGAAAAACCACCGGGAAAGCCTCATTTTTTCGGGAGAAACCAAGACAGATTTCAAGATCTGGACCGTCAGCCCGTCCCCCTGAGATTGGATGTACTGATCTGGAGAAATGATCGCATGACTGGAATAAGCTTAGGGGTAACCATACCAAAATAGCCTTAATTCAGATTTGTGAATTACCCTCTGGTAAACATACAAAAAAACAATGGAAAATCACCATTTTTTTATGGGTAAATCCACTATAAATGGCAATTTTCAATAGCTACGTTTGTTTGCCAGAAGGTATTTTACCCAGATTAATGTTGAAAGGCCATGTCAGGGGACATTCGATTATTATTAAACAGAATGAGTTTTTAGCATCCCCAAGACCCAAGAAGGTGCTGCCACACCCAGATACCTGAGAAGGGGGGGAACGAAAGCCAGATTGTCCATTGAAGTGGTGATTGTGCGAAAATGGCTTGAAAAAGAGGATGGATGATTGGATGGAGGAGTGGCCGTGGAAAGGTTGCACACGCCGCCCTGATTTTTAGGCGGGCTGTGAAGCGTCAAGTCAGATGGCATCAGCGGCTGATCTGGTCGTAGTGGCACGCACATCCGGTTGTAGTGGCAAATCGGGTTGAAGTGGTACCTCTGGTCGAAGTGACATGAGCGAGCAAGCTAGCAAGAGTGGCACAAGGACTACAAGTGATAGCTACTGCATCGAGACCGGAGATGCATTTAGAAAATCCATTTCTCACTTACTTGATCAGTCGAGCTGTTTGCGAGTGCAGAGACGGCTGATTGGGAAGGAAGATCCCGATGACGCAACAGGATTGCGAAGGCCACACGCCTAGCTCAGCGACACAGAACATGTGTTATGTGAAAAAAAAGACGCTTCGAGGGAGCGAAGAAAGCAGTTCGACGAGCACGGGCTGCAGGCAGCGCAGATCGGCCAGCTCTTACCCTTTCCTCTGACTAAACTTTCACAAACTAGTAGTGATCAGAAAAAAGCATGGAGCAAAGCACTGGCTCTCTCTTTCTCTCAGTATGTCAGCTTTCAGGCAGAGAGAGTAATAGTGATCAGCGAAAGACATGGAGCAAAGCATTCCTCTCTCTCTCTCTCTCGCTTTTTTCTCTCTTTCTGTCAACTTTCAGGCCAATCTCCTCTCTCTCTCTCCTTCTCTCGTTATGTCAACTTTCAGACCAATGCCCTTCTCTCTCCACTGTCCTCTAACTAGCTGTCCCATCTATCTGTCCATTCCCAGAAAACCGGATGTCAACTTTCATCCCAATGTCCTTCTCTCTCCAATCTCCTCTCACTAGCTGGCCCATCTATCTGTCCATTAACTGAACCCAGAAAACCGGACCTAGGGGGAATTGATACCCACCGTCACTGTTTTGCCGCCTGGTACATTACCCTGCAAAAGCATACCTTGCGCGGTCCTAAAACACCACCTATTTAGGCCGTTTTCGACCCGTTTTGACAGCTACCCCCCCCCAGACCCCTATTCTCACTTCGTTCGCAAACAATAACTAGCCAGCTTCCCGGCTGGCTTTCGTAATATATATATATATATATAGATATATATATATATATTTAGTATTGTTTATAACGCCCTTCAACTATTGCATTATCTACCACGACCATAAACCTTACATGGTAGTGTGCCCAATAATAGTTAGCTCAGTTTTTAACTCAAATAATCGAAGCAGGTATAACCCATGTGCGAACCATGGTGCTGGAAGATGAATCCCAACATTTGCCACAACACAAAATCACCCAGTGATGCAGGTAAATATACCAGCACCATGGGTTGCATATGGGTTATCATTAATTAGTTCTATATTTCCGGTTATTATCCCATTATCCCACTATTAATAGCCCATTATAATCACATCAATCCTATAATATCCTTAGTGGTAAGCAGAAGCTGCGTTGCTGAGGTATCCCATTTGGAAGGATCGAATACCAATGCCTTCCCCTGGACGCTTGGAAGACATCCGACGTCACTGTCGTTCTGGTAGTGAACTAGCCACAATGTGGGGCCCCCGTTCGATAGCTAAGTTGGTGAACATAACTACAATTTCACGATGGTTTACTATGGATTATAACCATAAGCCAGTTGGTTAGATGGGGTTGTAAACCAGCTTATATAGTTATAACCATAAGTTGGTTGTTATAACTATAGCTAGATGGGGATAAAAACCAACTTATAATTAGGGGGCCCCACATTGCAGGAATCGTAGGTGACTTGTAACCCGAGTTACAAGTGAACTGGCACAACTTCGCCCAGTTATAACCAGGGTGAACCAACCTACTTACTAACTGGGATGATTTTCCAAGTATTGACACATTCTTTTGAATCTATTACCCTCCTTGAATTATTGCCATGGCTGGGAAATGGAGGTTTCACCATCAACAAATAAAGATCTAATGGGATTTAGTGGGAATCTGTAGGGATGATAGTGGGACAATCATAGGGATTCTGATGTATTTACCCTCTGGCAAACAAACCTGGCACTTGAATTTTCGCTATATATATATATATTATATATATATACATATTGGAGGTTTACAGCTGAGAACACCAACTATAAATGGAGGATGTTCAATGGAACATAAACTTCGTAAATCAACCATACATATGTTTATGTTTTTTAATACGAAAATCATCGATCGAAATGGTGGATTTTCCAGCACGCCGTGGTTGATTATTAGAGGGTAGGGATTTTCCTTATTCTCTGTAATGTTGATGTCATGTCAATCCCGGGTTGGTAAAACATGGCTTTTCAAGGAAAGGTCCAAAAATGAATCGTCGGTCATCAGAGTGATTGTGTTTCAGAATCAGTTATGGCATGCACTTACAAATGGAATGAAATAACAATTAATAATTCCTATAACTCAAGTTATTATATATCATGAAATAAACTAAATAAACCCATGTATAGCTGGCTGCCCATATTAGCCACATCCATGGTGCTATATGGAAAAACCTACAAAAAGGTGGGTGAAAAACGCAGGGGTAAATCTTGGGATTCATTGATTCATCTTCCATGGTAATCCCAATGCCAGCAATGCCACCTCCAATGGGGGATTTCTGTTTACCACATACCCTACTTCTGTGTTGGTGGTACAAGAATTCACTCAACTGCATCCGATTTTGGGAACATCAAATGAACAGTTGACTCTTTGGAATGACTCATTTTTGGAGGCTAGTCACTAGTAAACATACAAAAAAGCATCAAAAAACTACGGAAAGACCCACCATTTTATAGCTGGGCAAATCAACTATTTCAATGGGCCATTTTCAATAGCTATGTTAGTTTACCAGATGGTATACTTCTTGAAAAGTTGGATATGGTTTATTCAGCGATGGAGGTACGTAAACGTACCATTTTTCCGACCATATTTTGGGGGGATATTCCCTGAAATTTAGGCCTGAAAAATAGGCCTTATATATTGTAGGTACCTCCAATTTAGGTTCCTGAAATGGCCATTGATTTGTTTTTGGGTTTACCTTGTCAACTGATACATGCTTTAGGTGGAGTAGCATTTTCTTCGGTATTCAAAAAGGAAAATCATGACAATTACAATATATGTTTCTTTTTACATTGACACATAAGATAGACACTGAATATATATATATGTATATATGTATAATGTGACTCTTCGCAAGATAGCTAAGTTGGTTTATAAGTACAATAACTATGGTTTATGGTACGCAAATAACTATAGTTACTGTAGATGGGCTTATAAACCAACAAACATAGCGTTTTTTTGGGCCCCGCATATCCCCCGCATATCGCTGATTCCGGCTTGACACAACGGACCATTCGTCATGATTCGCTGGACCGGTTTCGAAGTGTTCGGTGGCCCATTTTGATGCGAACAATATGGAAACATTGGAAACATTGGAAAATATGGAAACATTGGAAAACATGGCTGGAAAATATTGGAAACATGGCTGGAAAACATGGCTGGAAAATATTGGAAACATGGGAAAACATGCGAACATATCTGGTTGGTGCTTTCCATAAATGGGAATTTTATTTTCCATCAATGGGAATAATCCTTCCCATTGACGAAGTCATATTTTTCAAGATGGTTAAAACCACCAACCAGATATTGGGAAAGCTTCATGTTCGCCTCAAATCAGATTCTGAGACCAGTTGCAATTGACATTTTGGAACTACCACACTTGTGTGGGGACATTGCAAGATAGGCCTATATTTGCGGATGGTGGTTCAACTGGTTGGTGGTTTGGAACATGAAATTTATTTTTCCATATATTGGGAATTTCATCATCCCAACTGACTTTCACTAATATTTTTCAGAGGGGTAGGTATACCACCAACCAGTTCACACATGTCTTCAGATTCGGTCTTATCATGTTTCCCCTATGTTCATAATCTCTGACAAGAAAACCTCTGAGATGGCTTCAAACGTTCAAGCCACCAGGTCAATTTGCTGTGTGTATATACTGTATAATGTATATATATATATATATAATTTATAGATATATTTATATGCATATATATATATATGTATACATATATATGTATATACATATATATGTATACATATATGTATATATATATATATGTATACATATGTATATATATATATATATGTATACATATATATATGTATATATATATATGTACGGCTCGAAGAGGTTGCGTTTTGGCAACTGTATGAAATTGTTGACCCCATGGTTGTTTTTTCCGATTCGATGGTTGGTCATCTTCATCATCCCCTTCAAAAGCCTCAAAAGGAATGGAGATTATGACCCATAAATATGGAGGGAAACCTATATTAAATAAATGGAAGAAGCCCCAAAATCGGGCTACCCCCAAATCCATTGTATGATGTTTGTTGGTTTATGACCCATCTATATGGAGGTGTCATAAAATAGGGGTATCTAGTTCTCATCCATTTTAATGCAATGTGTGGCCCCTGGCCACGATAGCTAAGTTGGGGTTCACATAACTCCAATTTCACTATGGTTTATGGTACGCAAATAACGAACTAGTTACTGGGGCGAATCTAAACCAACAAACAATGTTTAGGAAAACTATGGAAAATCACCATTTTTAATGGTAAAATCCACTATTTCTATGGCAATGTTCTAATGTTTTGGGGACCCCACATAGGATTTTCCATTCAAAACCATCCAGCTGGGGTCACGGCTTCACCCTCAACGGGAGCCTCCCAGGTGGCCAATTTAAGGTTTTCATCAAGAACACGGTGGGCTGGGCTGCTTTTTGGCCCCTGGTGGGTTGATGATTACCCTCTGGTTATATATATATATATTTATACCCTGATGCGATAATACTAGGATAATAGATCATATAGTAAGGTTACGGGCAAACACCTCGATCCGCCCGCGCTTGTCGGCGGCCATCTTCGCATGTGCTGAAAACGTGATAAAAATGGGAGTTTTTTGAATCATGGCTAACTTCATGTTGTATATCGGCACGCACAGCATAGGGACCTGCGCGAGCCTCTTACACATCATCATCATTATCATTATCATTATCATCATCATCATCATCATCATCAAACCCTTTTTGAAGATCTTCAATGAATGTAGAAGTTTAACGGGGGTGGGAGAATTAAACCCTTATTGAAGATCTTCAATGAATGTAGAAGTTTAACGGGGGTGGGAGAATTAAAACCTTATTGAAGATCTTCAATGAATGTAGAAGGTTCAAAGGGGGTGGGAGAATTAAACCCTTATTGAAGATCTTCAATGAATGTAGAAGTTTAACGGGGGTGGGAGAATTAAACCCTTATCGAAGATCTTCAATGAATGTAGAAGTTTAACGGGGGTGGGAGAATAAAACCCTTATTGAAGATCTTCAATGAATGTAGAAGTTTAACGGGGGTGGGAGAATTAAACCCTTATTGAAGATCTTCAATGAATGTAGAAGTTTAACGGGGGTGGGAGAATTAAACCCTTATTGAAGATCTTCAATGAATGTAAAGTTTAACGGGGGTGGGAAATTTATATTCCCTAAATACCCTTGTTGATCTTCCCAATTGAATGTAAAGTCTAACGTTTGATATCCCCAAGTGTACAGCATAGAAGGGGTGTGGGCGAATCGGGGTGTTTGCGCGTAAGGTTATGTATATATATATATATGTATACCATGAATGTGGATTATCTACTATATATTTAGTGGATATAATGATATACCATTGATACTAACTGAATATATTTGGAAAGATGGATGAACTTAATAAAATGGGATGATATATTCATATTGGATATAACCAAATATGGGATATTAATGGGATAATGATGGGATAATCAATGGAATATATGGATTACGCTCCAGTAATTTAACATAGACCCTGGCAGTTGTCGGGGTTGGAAGACAAGTTTCCATTAAACTTTGGTGATTTTCAGGGTCAAACTGTTAATTTACCAGCAGGGGGTAAATAGGGATTGAAGATATGGAAATGCAGGGTAATCTGGGTAAACCAATCATAAACCACCCAATTTGGGAATGGTTCATACCACCTATTTGACCTATTTATGGTGATTTGGGGGATGGTTTATTACTGATTTACCAACCTTAAGACATTTTAATGGCATTGAACCAGTTTTAAGATGTTATGTGGTTTTAAGTATTAAACCTATAGAGAATTCATTAACACAACTAGTGCAAAGGGACGATGCTGGAGTTTGAACACTGCTTATTTGGCAAGCGAAGCAATGAGAAACGCACCGTTTCTGTCGGCTTACTTCCACGGATGTTCCAGTGAACAATGGTGATTTGCCATGTCCAGCCATGCTTTGAAGACTAGAAGCGATGTTTTCTGTCCACATCTCAATAATCACAGGATGCTCATGGATCAAAATGGTGAATTGAAAAGAGAAACTCGATCAAAATGGGGGTATACCCCTGGTAAATTTTCCAAATCGATATGTAATCCTTCAGGAGAGATAAGTTGATCATCTTTAAATTCCAGCCCAACTGGTTCCAGCTTTTTGTTTTTGCAGCATTTCCCATTAGCCATTGGTCAAATGGAGTGAAAATTTGTGACCATGCGGCTCCCTGAGCTGCCGAAAATTCAAGACGCCAACAAAAAACGACAATGTGAGGCCCCCGGCCACGATAGCTACCCTCAGGTAAATAAACAAAAAACTATTGAAATTGGCCCATTTATAGTGGATTTTCCAATTGAATATTGTGATTTTCCATAGTTGTGTTAGGTTGCCCGAGGGTAAAATGGTCACATAACTTCAATTTCACGATGGTTTATGGCACTTAGAACATCTTATAACGAACTAGTTGCTGGTTTTTTTAACCAACAAACATAACGTTTGGGTGCCCCACATTCTACATTTTATGGGGAATTGTCATAATTTGTCTAGATCGGTCCAATCCTAATGTCAGTAGAATCCTCATGCTTAGTGATTCCAGTATTTTGTGGAATCTTGATCTGTGAGAAGTTTGGCGCTCCAACGTAGAGAATTCGTAGGTGATAGTAGGTGGCTAGTAGCGACTGGACGGGGGGGTTGAAACACAGTTTTTATCATCTACTGATGGCTTAATGCAGTCTTGATGTTCCGTGGAATCTGAAAATAGGGTACTCCAAAATCCCAAGGTTCAGAATCTCATTTCCCCCATCAAAATTGCATTTGCTTGGTGCATTCCCGATCCATTAAACCACGAAACTATCACCATTTTTGTGTGTAACTAACAATGCCCCACGAAATCACCATATCATATTATTTGGTTAGATACTCCCAGTATATATCCCACTGTATTCTCTTTACAGGCCTGCAAAATAGTTGCCGTTACACCCGTTTGTTGTGCCCGAGCATGAACTTGGTGCTAGCGCCATGTCTATGAGTCAAAATTCTGGTACCAGTATCTGGTTGGTGGTTTCCCACATTTTTCCATGATATATGGGATAATCCTTCCTATTGACGAGCTCGTAATTATTTTTCAAGATGGTTAAAACCACCAACCAGGTACTCGTATCCTAAAATCGTTGATGTATGTTTTTTTTGTGTTTTCCAGCCTTACACCAGTTGTTCTGCTCTCATTTAAGGGTTCCTGAAATGGACCTGGAATGTATAGAGCTCCACCCTGGCCCCCTGAGTCGAAACGCTGGTCGAATGCATCCATTGGAATCCATAGCTCTGGGTAAATTTTAAGGACTTCACTGTTCTCCCGATCCCATGGAATCATGGTTTTTACAGGGAAACCTTTAGAGTCCTATTAAAGTCCAATTAAACCACTATAAACCATTACAATGACCATGTATTTTCGGTGATATTCAACTGGGTTTCATGGCTGGCCACGTGACCCACGTGTCAGGTGGGCAACTATGTTTGGGAACCTTTGCCCTGCAATCGTACCTGGCCGCGGCATGGGCTGACACCTGCGACTCGGTCGGAAAAACCCGCAACTGGTTGGTGATACTTGGTGCTTCATCCCCTACAATGTGGGGCCCCCCAGTTATGTTTGTTGGTTTAGATTCGCCCCAGAAACCAGTTCGTTATAAGTACCATAAACCACCATAAACCATAGTATAATTGGACGTAAACCAACTTAGTTATCGTGGCCGGGGGCGTCACATTGTAGTTACAGTAAGGGATGAGTAATAGATGATGGGAGGATGGGATGATTATTTAGGTAGATTCATTGATGATAAAATGGGTGATGATAGTTAGTGAAACGATTATTTAGGTAGATTAACGGGATGATAGTTAGTGAAATGGATGATTAATGATAATATGGTGTAATAGGGATATAATGGGATGATGATGATGGTATAGGGACTGATGATGGTCACTTATAACCATACTTGGTGCTGAACTACCCACGAATCGTAAGTGGGTTTAAAAAAAAAAAACTAGTTATAAGTGGACTAACCCTACTCATCCCATTTATAACCAGGGTTATAACCCACTTACGATTCTTGGGTAGTGAGCCACCAACTAGGTTAGTTCACCCTATAGTTACACGTGGGCTTCGCCCCTAGTTACTGCACTTCTAACTGGGTTACAACACGCTGTAACCTACGATTCGTGGGATGAGCCATCCAGTAACACTTGGATTTTTCCATGGGAATGAAGTATTTACCCTCTGGTTAGTGTTACATAGCCATGGTATAGATGGCCGATAGAAATAGATGGTTTACCGAACTTAAAAATGGTGGATCTTTCCATGGCAAACTGTTAAATAAGCAGATTGCAACCAAAACATATAGATATTTGGATATTTAGTGGTGAACTACCAAGTATTTAGATCATTATTTAATATCCAAAACATACCAAGCAATCGGATCTTTGGTGGTGGTTTCGTTCACCCCATTTAGCCGGTGGACTCACGGCGTAGAATAGGGTTAGCCACTTCGATCGATTCGTGGGATAGCCCACCAAGTAGAGTGTTGTGATTGTGAATTGCCATGAAGTGTTGTGTTTGATATGCAAAATTGAAATTGTACTATGGTTTATGGTTGTTATAACTATGACTGGTTGGTGGTTTCAAACATTTTTTATTGTCCATGATATATGGGATAATCCTTCCCATTGACTTTCATATTTTTCAAGATGGTTAAAACCACCAACCAGATGATGTTAGGTGAATTATCATCCAACTTGGTGAAGTAGTGATTTTACTGGGATTGTGAATTGGTATGAAGTAGTGTGAATTGTGAATTCCTACTTGGTGGTGAACTAGCCCCAATGTGGGGCCCCCGGCCACGATAGCTAAGTTGGTGACGATAACTACAATCACTGTTGGGTTTATGGTAGTTATAACGTGTTATAGCATGTTATAAGTATGATGTAAGATGGGGCTATAAACCAACTTATAACTATAGAGGGCCCCACATTGTAGTATTTGATATATAGTATTGGAAGATGAATTGCTGGTTATTAGACATCAACAAGAACGATGTTGGTATGTTAATATTCCGATGAACACTTGTAATTGCAACATAGGGGCGTAGGGGTTGGGAAATATCATGGGAATGTACTGGGAATATTGATATCTGGGTCACAGTAAGCCTCAAAAAATGGGATAACATCTGGGGAAAGCAAGTGGATGGTGAAATGAGCTGACAATTCGATATGTCATTATTGTTAGCTAATGTCATTATTAATATCGTTACCTAACAAAACAGTCGATATGACGATAACCATTATTCACTACTATTGTTATGGTCAGGTAATGTATGATAATGTATGGTAATGTCATTGTTGTGAGTCAAAGAAATTGCTTGGGCTTTGATGGCGCCTATTCGAGTGCAGGGATGAAAAAAACAACTAGCTGCAGACCCCTATTCCAGTTGTTTTTTTTGGTACATCGGATGGGAACATATCTACAATGTTTGCCCCCCCAGTTATGTTTGTTGGTTTAGATTCGCCCCAGTAACTAGTTCGTTATTTGCGTACCATAAACCATAGTGAAAGTGGAGTTATAAATTATAAACCAACTTAGCTATCGAACGCGGTCCCCACATTGTATTAAAATGGATGAGAACTAGGGATACCCCTATTTTAGGACACCTCCATATAGATGGGTCATAAACCAACAAACACAATACAACTTTGCTATCTTGGGGACCTCACATTGAAAAAGGAGTTATAGGTATTCATATTCCCTATTGAATGGAAAGCCGAGGAGCGACGAATTGAGTTTCCCGAAAAAAGCACATGGTTTTGTTGTTGGCATCTACAAAAGCTTTGTCGAAAATCGACATGCCAATTTCAAGGAACGAGAACACGGCTAATTAGAATTCCATGCAAGAGCATACTCTCTGGTAAACTAAAAGTTAGCTATTGAAAATGGCCATTGAAATAGTGGATTTACCCATTAGAAAATGCTGATTTTCCATAGTTATGTTAGTTTACCAGAGCATAACTCTGCTACTTTTTTGCAGAAGGTACAGTAAATGTCAGTAGTGTTTACTTTCAACCATCGAATCCACATTTCTTGATGACGAATGCGGTGTGATATATTTGTGTTTACTTCCAGGTACGATGAGGCAAACCCAATTAACCATCCCAGTCCGAGTCACAAACCAGGCATAACCCGCAAGTGGGACTGTTGTTTTCTGTCATTAAATATCCCCTAATTGCGCTAATTACCCCATGTCATACCATTATCAACTATCATCCCATGGGTCCCATATTCAATCCGTGTTCTTCCCGTTTTTTCATCCCATTAGAAGTCACCAAAATGCCAACACCTAGTAGAAAATAGCCTATGTATCACTAGGCAAAAAACAAAATACCATTTAGTTCTGACTAACAGTTTGCCATGGAAAGATCCACCATCCTATTAAGTTCCGTAAACCATTTATTTCATCTTGGGCCATGGCTCTACCATGGCTTTGTAACAAATAGCCAGAGGGTACTCCGGTAATCAATCAGCGGCTAGAAAATCCACCATGCTAGTCGTGTAGCTCGAGGATTTTCCACCAAAACCGCCATTTTTAGTAAGGGCAGTTCGAACGGCATGAATTTCAGCTAGTCATGTTTTATTACCAGAGGCTAAGTGGTTTATTATTGCTGGTTGGTGGTTTGGAATATTTTTTATTTGTCCATTTCATATATGGGATAATCCTTCCCATTGACTTTCATATTGTTCAAGATGGTTGAAACCACCAACCAGATTGGGTTTATCTCATCCCATATGCTCCATGTATGGAATATTTGCCAACATTTGCCCAAAAATCACCCAGTCATGTAGCTATATATACCAGCACCATGGAGTATATGGGAATCATGAAGCTCTCCTGTGAAAGTTCAAGTTTTGCCTGACCCGACAGACCCAAGGATACAGAAGTCAAGCTCACGTATCGCGGTGATAGTGATGATGGGTGGGGATAGGCTTCTGGAGTTCTAGCCAGCCATCGACAAAACGTGTTGCAACCATTGATTAATTATGGAAATTTCAGGATCCTAAAATGGAGGTACGGTACCATATAAGGCCAGATTTTCTGGGGATATTCCCTGAAATTAAAGCCTTATATATATGGTAAGTACCTCCAATTTAGGTTCCTGAAGTGGCCGTTGAATTGACAACCGAAATCATTCAGACTGGGTTCTGTTACGACCCGGGTTGTTTCCCAACTATTCTATAGGAACATCAATCTATGAGGTGGTGCCCCAGATCGCCAAGTTACATGACTGTTGGGTTAATGGTCGATACATCGAACTAGTGTTCATGGGACTTTCATGGATGTTCAACCATTTATATATGTCAATGTGATTTACGATGGCTATGTCGGTTGAAATAGCTAACATATCACTGTTGGGTTTCTGATAAATCGAACTAATCGCGTTCAACTAAACCAACACGCATTTCACTGGGGGGCGCTCTAGGTGCAAGGCTTTCTCTATGGAAGCCATGGTTCATCCAGTTCATCCAGTTACAAAATTGTCCTATTAACAATCGTGAGTTTCCGTAGTAAATTGTTAGTCCTTACCACACGTTATCTCAGATTTCGGATGTATCATTTGCCCAACAAGATCCAGTGGTTGAGCATCACCTTCCCCATAGAAATGGCCATATGCTCTCGTATGTTCCTGTTTTTTCTGCCATAGCCATATCTGAAAATTCACAGTCTGGTAATTTACTAAATAGCTATGGAAAAAAGGCCGTTTATTAGATGATTTACCTTTAAAAAAACAGCGATTTTCCCATGGGCATTTTCAAAATTTACCAAAAAAAAACGGTCAGCCTGTCTGCCCTTCAGACTCGATTCCGCAGGTATGGTGAAAGTGGTATCACGACTGTATCATTGGGTCGTGCAAAGGAAAGCAACAAGATGGAGGCAAGCGCAGCGCCATGGCTGTGCATGGTGGTGCTTAACCATAGCCATGATTAGTGGGATACCCAGGATGATCATGATTATGAATTTTAATGGGAATTCAGCTGGATCCTTTTTCATGGGTTGGTACGTTAGTAGCATTTTTCAAACATTTTTTTGGATATTCCCCCTACATTGGCCTGAAAAATATGCCTTATATATGGTAGGTACCTCCAATTTAGGTTCCTGAAATGGCCATTGATGGTGGTACTCAACCAGCGATGCTTGTTGGTTTAGTTTTACGCCATGGGGCTATGTAAAATCATTGTGAATTGTGGATAGTTGAACGGAAAAACGATGCTAAGCTGCCAAGTATCATGGTGCTTCATCGGGGTTTGACACAAGGATCGTGATATGAGAGACTTGTGGATGTGCATCCCAAGTATGAAGTGTTTAAGTACCCGTATACAACTGGGGTATATCATCCAATGTCCAATTTCTTGGTAATCTAGTTATTCCCAACTTACTTACTGGAATGTACAAGGTGCTGCCCCCCGGTGTTGTTTTTGTCAGGAAGCGTTCGAGGGAATTGTTTCCTGGATTTGGCAGACTATTATTATTATTTGTTTCTTCGAGGGGGGGGCGGGGATTTGGCAGACTATTTTTTTTTCTCCTTCAATGAGTCTCCGGAAGCTTTTTCTGCCACTGGAGTAGTCTACGGAAGCTTTTCCTAGCACTGGCATTTTTCCCTTATAATAAATTGATCTACGGGAGCCTTCTTGCCTACTAAATTTGTCTACGGGAGCTTCTTTCCCATTGAATTAGTCTACGGAAGCTTTTCCTGCTACTAAATTAGTTTATGGAAGCTCTTTTTGCCATTCAATGAGTCTCCGGAAACTTTTTCTGCCACTAAAGTAGTCTACGGAACCTTTCTCTGACACTGACTTAGTCTACGGGCGCTTCTCGGCCACTAAATTAGTCTCTGGGACCCTTTGCCCCAGGCCCTCACCATGTAGGATTCGCTGGTCTGGGTTTGACCCGAAACTGTTGGCACTGGCTCCGTTTGCCACTGATATTGGGATATGTCTTGTCTTCATGTTTATTTCTTCAATCCCTGTGGTTAGCATTAAATCTTAACGTGTTTGAATCATATACATTAAACCTCCCATTTGTTTTGCACGAAAAACACATGTTTCAATGTGTTTCTTCTAAGGACACTTTTGTTGCTTATACCTCAAACTCCATGTTACTGGGTCAACCTTGGTTTGATACGAACTGGTACTATGCTTTTTTTCGGTTAACGGTAGAATGTACCAACCCGCTAAAATTAGATTTTTTGGCAGGTATCTAAGATTCACCATGGTTATCTGGTTGATGGTTTGGAACATGAATTTTGTTTTCCATATATTGGGAAGAATGATCCCAACTGATTTTCATATTTTTCAGAGGGGTTGAAACCACTTTTCCATAATATATGGGATAATCCTTCCCATTGACTTTCATATTTTTCAAGATGGTTTTTTAACCACCAACCAGTCATGGTTAGAGCCATACCTCTTTTATTCGTTTCCGGAGGGCTGTGACATGTGGGATCCATCGGCGTGAGGCAGATGATGGTCCAGGCTCGGGGGAAACCCCCAGATTTTTTTGATGCGGAGCTGGGGCAAAGTGTGGTTTAACAAAAAAAAGCACTTAAAGCCATTTTCCACCTACAAATGTTTATAGGTGCTTCTAAATGGCTATATGGCTATATACACGGTTTTAAATGGTTATAAATGCTCACAAGTTGTTATGAATGGGGTTATCCTTGCATAAATTGTATTATCACCGACCTATAGCTGCTAGAGAGCCATAACTGTGGGGCATAGGCACCAAACATAAGGGGAGAAGCATTATTTAATGGGACTAGGGATGTAATCGGAGAATATTAGGGTGGGGTTTTCTCTCTCATGAAATGGGAATTATAGGGATATAGCCAATGTGTCCGTTATGGAACTAAGCCTCAATGACTAGAAACATCTTGGTCAGTGTGGTAGTTCGCCACCTTTCTACGGGGATATTGAGCACCATTAGATGGGAGATTTGCCCAAATGGACGGATATTGATAGGGTGAAGTGTAGGTTGGTGCTGTTCCACTTTGATTAGGGGGACAATCATACCCAGCTAAGTGGTTGTTTCCCATGGCTAGTGTCAATCAACGTAGCCATGATATTGCCTTGTTCAAGAATCTCACTGTGCGGGTGAATCCCCATAGTATCCCAAGTGTTTGAGGTTTGAGCCCCTCTAAAACCAGTCCCACAATGTGAGGCCCCCGGCCACGACAGCTAAGTTGGGGTTCACATAACTCCAATTTCACTACGGCCACTATGGTACGCAAATAACGAACTAGTTACTGTAGTTACTGGGGCGAACCTAAAGCAACAAACATACCTGGTAAACTAACAGAACTATGGAAAATCACATGTTTTAATAGGTAAACTCACTATAAATGGCCATTTTCAATAGCTTTTTGTATGTTTACCAGAGGGTACAGCAAACATACCCTCTGGTAAACCAACGAAAATAACGTTTGGGGGCCCACATTGCAAGTATCCCAGAGATTCCTTTCGAATCCCAAGATTTACTCATGGGGGGAGTGGTTTTCCTCAAGCAAATTCAGTCGTAAATGGGGATGAGAATCCACAAATATTGGATTAAAAATAAAAAACAGATTCCTAAAAATCCTCATGATGATGTTTTATTATTCTAGAGGCAACATTCCCATATTCAGAAAATCTTCGCATACCATGTTTTCATCGTATTCCAGACCTGGGTTTTGGTATGTTACTTTGGTAGGCATTTCAGCTCAATCTGGAGGGAACAGTTGGGCCATGGCGAATCCACTGAATGCCCCCCCACAGCTTTCTATCCCCTATGTCGTTCCAAAGCAGCTGTGGACGTTGGATGAATTGAAGGCTGCTTTGATAAGGGAGTTTCCTCATTTGTCTACCGAAGAAGGACAGAGTTGTCAAAGGTAACGTTTTTAAAGGTTGGCTGAATAAAAATTAGCAAGTTTCTTCCCCGGGGCCTCACCCAAGGTGAACTCGGAAAAACTGAACCCACTAGCTGGTGTGCCCCTGGAAGTTTGGGCTGGCTTTGGGATTGGAATATTCTGGCCCCGAAATTTCCCTCTGTGGTCTCTATACCAGCCACGCATACTCAGAATTCTTCGCGTTCCATAATTTCTTCGCACTCCACATGGGACATCGCACTCCACAGCTAGGGACGTACGCATACTGTAAAATTCACGCGCTCTGCAAGATCTTCGCACTCCATAAAATCGTCGTACTCCGTGTTTTTTTCTTTTTTTCTGTTGTTTTTTTTTCGTTTTTTTTTGGCTAAAATCGCCTGGAATCACGTTTTCTGGAATATGGGGAAGGTAGCGGTTTCGCGTGAGACGTCTGTAGTTTCACATACTATCGCATTCCAGGCAATTTTGGCCAAAAAAAAACGGAAAAAAAAACCTCAGCAGGGTGAATTGTGATAATTTTCTGGTATATGATGGAAAAAAAACTGGGGTTGGATCCAAAAAGAAGGTCGAAGGGAGCCGAAGGGGGCCACGCATACTGTTTTATTTTCGCATTCCAGAAAATTAGCGCACTCCAGGGGTGGCATCGTACTCTATCGGTGGAATTATTATGTTGCACGGAAGAAAACAGGATCGCCGATGATTTGTGTTCCCAGATCCTGTTGTGCAGAGCTCTTTGCGGGGCCACAAAGATGTCAAGAAAGATGGGGATGGCGCTGCTGGTGAAAGGCCAGCCAAGCGTGCCAGAACATAAGCTGAAAGCTTATGAATTGGGTTTTGAGATCCTGAAAAGTGTAGATGGCAAATTCCCATAAGAACGTTATTAACCCATATTTGGAAAGCTCAACACTATTGATTATGACATTTCCAGAAATTCTTTGGGGAAGAACATGTGCAGTCGACAACGTACGTGCCAGAAGAAAAGGAGTACGTGGCAAACTGTATGAAATACAAATTTCACCTGAAAGGGGTCTTCGCAATTGCTATCATTAATATCACTGAATGTTTATTATCATTGTATATTACTGTCATTTGCTATCATTATTATTATTGATGATGATGATGATGATCAACTCATATGGTTGTGGGTCCAAACCTTGGTACCCAACAGTCATAGCTGGTATAGCTGGATAATTATTCCCCAACATGTGGTAAAAAATTGACAATAATAGGTATTGACCACTCCAAATCTCCATGTAGTCTAAGCCTTGTAATAATATATGGTACTAACTTAATAACAGGTACCCTCTGGTAATTTAACATAGCTATTGAAAATCACCATTTATAGTGAATTTTCCCATGAAAAATGGTGATTTTCCATAGTTATGTTAAATTACCAGAGGTTATCGACCAATCCTAGTCTCCATCGAAGATTTTTTTTCAGCATCTTTGTGTTTCCCACTGTCAAAGTCTCCTTCCAGGGAGCGGCACATCTGCTCCAGCGAGCCGCGGTACTTCAGCACCTGTGAGCCGCGGTACGTCAGGGAGCCCGAAGAAATCCAAGGGCTATGTGAAAAGCACACAGGTCCGGAGCTGACAACATCCCCCAAACTTGGGATGCAATCCGTGGAAAGGAAGCATAAGGAGAGGATTCAGTGTGGACCAAAGATTGACAATTTCTGAAGTCAGATCTCTGGAGATTTATGTTTGCATTTGTACAAACAAACGGATGTTTAATGGTAGTTTACTATGATGTTACGGATCATAATGGCGATATTGATGAATATAACTTAATATAACTAATGTAAGCCTCCGGTAATCAAACATGGCAAGCTACGACATCCCCCAAAAGTGTATGTTTAGTAGGACATGCATCAGATCATACATATATACATCAAATTATATAGTACGCATATTTAAATACATTACATAATAATAGTCATTATTATTGTTGTTGAACAATTATTATCATTATCATTACTATTATTGAGTGATCCCTCCGGGAGATCTAAGCAACAGCTGCTAAAATTGGCCAGCCAAAGCTACGCGATGTGGTTTCGGCGTTTCGGCGTTTCGTCAAGATGCGGTCTCAATGCCTCGTGGGACGGCTGGCGCCACTGCTGATGTTCAAACGGATGTTGCAGCTGGTTCTGCTTATGGGTAATTAATGTGATTTGTAACGAGGATAACTGGGATTTATTATGGTGGATAGATCTGTAGTATGATAGGGTTAGAAACAAACATTGAATTGAGGTTGGCCTTCCTGTATGGATCAACATAAAATCCGAGGGACCGATGTGGGACATGTTTGGCGGCAGTTTCTGTTGGGAAATTTGGATACCCCAAAGTCTGGCCAATGAAAATGCTGAATCCTGATTACGCCAACAGAATTTGAAGTCTTTGTTTTACCGATTGTTTTACCATCTGCTAATGACTAACAGTTTGCTATTGAAAATTGCCTAGAAAGTTCGCTGATTTACCTTTCAAAAATGAACATGTTCCATCATTTTCCCATAGCTACTATGTGGGGCCCCCCAGTTATGTTTGTTGGTTTAGATTCGCCCCAGTAACTAGTTCGTTATTTGCGTACCATAAACCATAGTTATTGGAGTTATGTGAACCCCAACTTAGCTATCGTGGCAGAGGGCCTCACATTCTAGAATCTAACTAACAGTTTAAAAAACATTATAGTTTTCCATATATTGGGAATAATCATCCCATTTGACTTTCATATTTTTCAGAGGGGTAGGTTGAACCCACCAACCAGCCATAGCTACGTTAGTTCATCAGAGGGTTTTCTGTAAACCGTTTCGTGTCGACCTGGGATCCAGGCTGTTTTTTGTTGTGCTGTTCCAAACGTAGCCCAAGCGCACTGCAAGCACATTCAATGATCAGGCACAAATCGGACATGTCCATTTTCTATAAATATATGCCATATAGTGTATATATATAATATTATTTATATTAGATATAATATATAATATATTATTTATTATATATTATTATTATATATGTTTTTTATTTATATATATATTATATATATTTATTTATTTATATATATATATTATTTATTATATATATATATTTATTTATTTATATTATATATATATATATTATATATATATATATTATATATATTATATATATATATTATATATATATTATATATATTATATATTATATATATATATTATATTATATATATATATTATATATATGTAATTGATCATACATATTATATATTATATATGTATATATATGTCAAGGTTTTTAACCCAATCCATGTTTTCACCAAGAATTTTGTCCCACCAGTGAGTTGTCAGCCACAGCACCTGGCCCAGCCCTGGCTTAAAAGAGCCGGGGATGAAACTTTGAATGCCAGGTAGCCCCGCTAAGGGAATGAGCAAGCGGCAGCGAAAAAAATGCCAAGTTATATCCAGTTATGACAGGGGGTTGTAAATGTCCGAATTTATCACCCAAGGATTATGGGATATCTCCAGATACTTTGCAGGTGATGTGACAGAGATTTCTGACACATCAATCCCAACTGGATGATTCTGCTAAGGGGAGGGACCATCCTCGAGGTGAATTTCCAGAATTATAGGTCCGGTAATCAAACCCATATGCTGAATGTATGGTATCTGGTAATTTAACATAGCTATTGAACATGACCATTTATAGTGGATTTTCCCATTGAAAATGGTGACTTTCCATAGTTATGTTAGTTTACCAGATGGTATATTTACCTATATAACTGGGTGATTTTGTTCTGGTAGATGTTGGGATTCATCTTCCAGCACCATGGTTCACATATGGGAAACGCAACATGACAGGAATATCCCCCATTTAAGGTTTGATCATGGTCCCAGCGCGAAATCTCTGTTGAACATTTCCCACGTTTGATGACGCTGGAGGGCAACGTTTATGTGTCCGACGTGATTGGTTGAATTTGTTTGTTTGGTCGATCCCTTCTTACTGGTGCTTAGTAGGGACTGGATGGGAATGGGGGAATAATGGGATTATAATTGATAGCTATTGTGGATCATTCCCTCATTCCATACTAAGCACAAGTAAGCCTTTGTTTTGGATCTCTTCACCGTTGAGATTTAAATCTGACCGTTGAGCCATGTCCAAATTAGTTAAATTTAATCACTGAAAATGGTGAGTCTGACTGGCATATTCATTGGCATGTAATGGGATATACAACCAACCAGATGGGTTAACAATAGATTTTCTAACCACAATATCCATATTCAATATTCTACTATGGTAGATGGGTAATATATGGTACAATAATATCTAATGGGATATTCCCAATATATGGGTACATATTAATTGACGGATGGTCATCAATCATTACCCAGATACCATGATCTGTGGATTTCGACTATAGGATGGATAACGACCGAACACTGTTCTCCCGAACCCTGGAATCATGGTTTAGATATAGGGAAATCATCCCCTTTTATGGCCCAACAATTCAGGTTAGTGAAATATTATAATTTACCCAGATATAAGTCCTCATATCCCCGAATCAAACTTGGAGCCATCGCCAGTAGATAGGAAATCCAACAACCTAACAGGAGATAGTTGGGACTTGCAAACACATGTGGAAAACTGATGGCAAAACACATCTCAGACTACCCTTTGGTGATTTAACGGTTTGCTAGTGAAAATGGCTATTTATACTTGATTTACCCATTAAAATTGGTGATTTTCCATCGTTATGTTAACCAGAGTGTATCCTCGAGTTCATTCAATTTCCACGCGTATCATCAATTTCCCCATGAAAATTGAAAAATGAAAATGGTGCGGTGCGCCATTTTCAGACCCAAAATCACATTCTTGATTATTCATATACCATGATATTCTCAACTGTAAGGCATTTCACTTCTCCTACTATAAAACTGATTTAAAGCCCATGTAGTTTGCAATATTTATAATTAGACCCTATGAATACTATAGTCGTAAGTATCATAAACCAGTGTCATTATTGGAGTTATGTGGTCCCCAACTTAGCAATCATAAATCAGCTATATTGTACTCCCATGGTTTGTTCATGTTTTCTTGCTTTACTCCCATTAAACTATCAAGATCCCGTGGAAATCGCCATTTTTGCTTTTGAAATCACCATTTTTCCCATGGAAAAAACTTCGCTGCTTCGCGAATTGCCACTGAAGGTGGTGGAGGACTTCTTTCGTGAGAACGACTTCTTCGGCATTCGCGAGAGCAGGACGTGACTGGTTCGCGGGATCCAAAAAAAACCATTGTGTTTTAACCATCAACAAATATATGAAAACAATCTGATGAAATCACTGTAATTCACTGTATATATATATTATTATGTGTGAACTATCAAATGTTTAATGGTATCTATCTATAGACTTCTTGGTGGTTCATCCCAGGAATCGTAAGTGGGTTAGTTCACCCCAGTTTGTTAAGTGGATTAACCCTACTTAGCCCATTTATACCCAGGATTATAACCTACTTACTAAGTGGGATGAACCACTAAGTAACCATCAACAAATATGGTTGATGTTTAAAAAGCCCCAAAGGGCTAAAAAAGTAAATTCCCACTGAAACAGTGGTATATCCCTTTTCTATAGGTTGTTATACATGGTTACTTTATTGTTTCATCAGTCGTTTAATCAGTTTAAATATTTTTTTTTGCGATTTCAATAGCAAAACATCTACTAACCAGCTTACAAATTCATGTGTTGCAGGGTATCTAAGATTCGCAAAGTTTTTGTTCGCGGTGAATTACAAACGTAAGGGATTGCAATGGGAAGTTCATATCGAGCGAAAAAGATATTGATGGTCTATGTAAAGTATATAATACAAAATATATGATATGGTAATTTTCTATGTCGAATCTATGTAACACCACTTTGGAACCCCAAAAGCTACAAATGACTACAAATGTATGTACGTGCTGGTTCATTCTGGCACATTACCCAGTATCTCTTGGCAGATTATCGCGGCCCCTTAACTTATAAAAACACACCATCAGACAGGATTGTCCAATAACTTTTGTGCGTTTGCTAATTTGGTGATTTTGGTGTAATTCAGAACTTTGGTGGGTCATACTACTGTTGATGGAAGAAATCCTGCACCACCTTGGATGGTTGAAACCCTATAAATAATGGAATGAACCATCTATAAACTGGTGATTCGGATTTCGCAACCATCCACCGTAGTACCCTCTGGTAAACAAAGATGGCAGTGGCAAACATATCTTTATCTGCTGGTTGAGCTACGGGTATCCATATTCCCTACTGAGGACTGGGAACTCCGAACAGAGCTACGAATTGAGTTTCGCTGCCACATGATAGTTTCATCACAGAAAAAAGTGTCAAACATGGATTAACAGGCACTTGAACCAGTATTTTTGTGGTATATCTTGAGACTCGGAGTGGGGACAGCAGTTTAGAGGGGATTTTCCCTGGATAGATTACTGAAGATCTTGAAATTCCCATTGATCGATGGTTTTAATCCCATGAATAATCTCTATCTGGTTGGTGGTTTGGAACATGAATGGATTATGACTTACCATTCAGTTGGGAATTTCATCATCCCAATTGACGAACTCATATTTTTCAGTTGAAACCACCAACCAGCCATCAATAATCCCATTAATCCCATTACCCATATGTTCCATGGTGCTGGTTGTTTTTACCTACCTAACTGGGTGATTTTTTTCGAGCAAATGTTGGGATTCATATTCCAGCACCATGGGTTGCATATGGGGTATACACTTGGTGGTGAACTACCCACGAATCGTAAGTGGGGGCCCATTCACCTTAGCTATGAGTGGAGATTGCACCTACTTATCCATTTTATAACCATGGTTATAACCCACTTAGGATTCGTGGGTAGTTCGCCACCAAGTAGTTTAGAACTCCAGTTTCACTATGGTTTATGGCATTTATAACTACAGTTACTGGGGCTTTTCAACAACAAACATAACTGGGGGGGCTCACATTGTACCATTCAAGTCCCCAAAAAAGTCTCGACGTCGCAGGCAACCTCAGGGCTGGATCATCCACGGGGGTCATTTCCTCGACGCCAAGGTGTTTGGGGTTTTGGAACTGGCGTTGGCTGCGGCAAAGATCTATAAAAATGTGTAGATCTAAAATCACAAAAAAGTGGAACTCCATGTACATATATATATAATTTATAACTAGTATAGTAGAGATTACACTTAAGTCTGCAATTTGTTTTGACCATGGCACATTTAAAAGTGTTTTTCCAACTTCGACCTGCTGATGATTCTTGTTTTCCCATGGGTCAATCCAAACAGAAAAATCAGGGTGAAAATTGTGGTAGTCCAACAGGGTTCCTTTTTTCTGGACATTGCAACTGGTGAATTTCACCATGTGATCAAACACACAGGGACCTCAACTGGGAATGTGATAACCCCGCTCAAGAGGGGCGATTTTTATACGATTTTTTTTATGACTTGCATGCATACCCAAGGATTTTCATCAGGAGGATTGGTTTTTGGCAACCTGACATTGTACAACAAATATCTTCAAACAAGAAATCATAATCCGAAAGAAACATCGTTTAATAGGGCGATGAAAACACATGTTTGGGACCGTAAAATACGTAAAATGGGGGTGCTTAACACGAAGGGGATGGGATTCTGCCACAAAGATATCATATCCGGTCCATCTTTGCAACATGCCCGCCATCAAAAATATGGTCATCGCGAGTATCCCGTGGTATTTTTGCAAAGTCACCACCTCTACCAGGTACATCACCCAAATAAATGAACCATTTATACTATAATACCATAACTATGTTATTCTTTTGGGGGGGTATGCCATGCTGAGTTCGTATTTCTCCTCGACCCAGTTTTGAGTTCGGATCCTGTTTCAGGCAAAATCAAGCATCGATCCATGGGGCACCCTTGTAAAAGCTGCGGATTTTCACAGTCGTGATCCATATCGGGTTGTCCAAAAATTGGGTGTATCCGTTATATTTAAAGGGGAGACATGAGGGTTGAATCGGAATTGATTCATATGTTTTGGCTGAACATATGTCATATGAAAACCTCCAGATGTTTGTCATGTTTCTTCCAAGACATTGGACAGCACTGTGGATTTATAGCCATTGCTCGAGATCCCGCGCTGACAGCGGCATAGTCATGGAGTTCTCAAGATAAGATACCTTTTGAACATATAGGAAGAGGCCAGAAAAACAGATACCCTCCAGTAAAATTAGCATAGACAATGGCAGATAGGGGTTGGAAGATGAATTTCCACCTCAAAAAAAAAAGTAATTTTCTGGATCCATGCTAATTTTCCAGAGGGGTATCATTAGCATTTCAAATTGAAGTGGGGAAAGATCGGAGACATGAACAGTTCCGAAGTTCCCAGGTAGCAGAACCGCTCCATGCCAAGCAGTTCCAAGAGCCATCCCTGCTGGAAACATCACAATGGCCGTCAAAAATCAAATCCCACGTGGGATACAGATTTTAGTCATTCTAGTCATGATTTTTTGCCAAAATGTGTAAACTATCCAAATTTTGGTGCCCCAACTTTAATACATGTTTTATAGCTAAGAACACTGATCCTGCAGCCCTATAAACCAGGCACATCCCACTGCAAGTCGCTGCAAAAAGAGTTGAGATTCCAGAGATCCAAAATCGTTTTGAATTGCCTTTTCTGGACCTATCTGAAGTAATTCCAGTCAAGATTGAATCATGTGCTCGATGTGAATGACCACAGCCAATCATCACGGCTGCCACGGCATCACGTTTGCGGTCAAAAACTCGTGGCCATGCATGGCTCCCGCCATGAGAGTCATGGAAGCCAGGCAGGGGCGAGGGCGGAGCGGAGTGAGGGGAACTCGGGATCAACTTACCCAGTAAACGAAGATAGCAATGGAAAGTCATCAGTTTAAGTAGGTAAATAGATGTAAATAATCTATAAATGGACGATCTTCCACGGCAATGTGAATTGAACATGAAGTTTAAAGCAATCTCCCAAAAAGGCTGGTTAAAAGAACTGCACTGTTTAATCAGCAACCCATTTGGTTTTGACCGGTGGACAGAAACCTAAGCATCTGCAGGCCTGGAGCCCTAAACAAGCACAAAAGGATGGTTGTGTCATATATTTGGGATATTGGATAGCCTATCATTGGGGATGATCTGTACATATGTGTGAATATTTGTTGAGATAAATGCAAAAAAAATAAGATATAATCCCTTAATTGGTGGTTATTGGATAGCTACTTGGATGTGCATCATACTTAGTAATTGGTTTATAGTCATACTCCATATGTAACCCATATTTCATCCCATATATGAGTGTGGAAATTCCATTATATATATATATAAATATGTATATATACACACAACTGGTGTTTTTTCACCAATTTATTAAGTGGGGCCCGCACCCCCAAGTAGAGTGGATTCACTGCCAGAACTTCCTTCTAGCAGTGGCCAGAGATTCATCATCCCTTCATTGACGCTTATTGGATAGCTACCCTCCTGTAAACTAACAGTTTGCTATTGAAAATGACAATTTAGAAATAGTTGATTTACCCATCCCAATGGATCCAAAGTAGGCAACTATGATAGACTTTCGCCAATGTCAGCTATATAATCGACATTGCCCTATAAACCCTCAATGTTGCTTCGAGGTTGCTACATTCGACCCCCCCTGGTTTCCGACAGAATCCGACAGAATCCGACACCAGCAAACGGTGTACCAAGTTGTCTATTTTTTTTTCACAATCTAGTTGTTGTTGTCCAAGTCAGGGTTTCTTACCCTCAAGAGCCATCGAAGGATTGTTCTGAGCTCCAGCGTTTTACCTGAGCTGGCCACGCCGCGCTGAAAACAAGCGGTAATGATAGCGCCAAAAGCACATAATTAGGACAAAACACATTTAAATAGTCAAAGCAATAACAATTTCAATAGAGAGTCGGTGGACTTTGCGTACTAAGCGCTTTGTTTGCCCCATGCAATCCTCATCAAGATATGCGTGGTTCCCTCCTCAGAACAACGCCAGTGTGTGGCAGCGCAAGTCTGATTTTCAACTTAACTCAAGCAAATCAAGCCAAATTGCCAACATTGCCAAGAGTCTTGGATTTTCTTTGAAAACCCGTGCTTCAAACAAGATCTCCAAGAATACCTCAGTTAAATTTATGTTGTGGTATCCAAAAAATGAATAGACTAAAACTACAACACATACAACACCCACATGTACTTGGTCTTCGCAGAACCCATGCAGCCATGGTGCATGCGCCTTTGGTTTGAGAGGATATCGCTTGTTGCCCAGCTGCAAGTGAAGAAGGGCCAAGAGCTTGTAGAAGTTCAGGAACCTCACTGCATGAGGGAGCTTTAGGGGGGCAAGTCTGATTATGTAGCTGACATGTTTGTTTGCAATCCATTGGGCCGATTAAATTTTGATACTGATATGGGTTTATGTGGTATGCTCAGTAATGTATATAACACTATAAACCAACTATGAAAGTGTCATTATTAAGTACATCGCCCCAACTCGCACTTGTTGGATTTACCTTGGTGGTTTCTTCTCAAGTTAAAGCCCAGTAACTTCAAACCAGATTCAAACAATGTTCCTGCTTGTTGATGGGAAAGATCATAGGGATATGTTTCCACCAAGAGGGACCAGTTTGCAAGCTGTACAGTAGCTGCAGTCACCAATCTCAGATCCTGTGAACACTGTCCAATCTGGGTTTGTTTTTCCATCAGTGCTTTCAATGCAACTGCCAAATAGGCTGTCATCACGCGAGACGCATAAGCTTTTAAGCGCAACTCCGCATAGTCAGCCAAAGCCAAATGTCCCTTTGTAATAACAGGCTGTCCATGGTTGATTCCGTGAAGGCGACACCAGTTGTGAAAGCGAAATGTCAGAATTTCCATTTGTGTTTGCACATCTAGCTTCCCTGGACCTGGTATTCAAAAACATGAATGGTCCGGTCAAACATATGCCCTACTGATCTTGAGGGGCCGCAGAGGAAAGTGAAAACGAATGAAAACAATAAAGCATTCAATTTTTTTCCCAGGTGAAGAATCACCATAAGATTACACGGTGTAATCTGGATGGGGTATGAAAAATACCAAGCAAATTTGTTGGCACCTTTCCAGTCAAACCAGTCGGGGTGGTCCATTAACGTCAGCACACCACCCGCGTTCAGGAAATGACATAAACCTAAGTGCAGCGTATGCATCAGGCAATACCGCAACATTGTCGGTTGGAACCCGATCACGAAGCTGATGGGGTTGATGTAGGACTTCCTTAACTTAACGCTCTAACAAAGAGGAATTTGCAGTAAGTTACAGAACAGGTATCAACAGGCTGGTTCCACTTTAACAAACAAAATAATAAAATAACCATAACATTAAATTCGCAGTTCAGCGACAGGGCTGAGCCATAGAACTCAGTGGTGGTCAGTCTGGGGATAGCTTCAAACTGCTCAAATGCGGTGAACCTTGACATGTTGTAGGCAACCCTCACCAAAAACATTGAAATTTTGGGAATATCATTTTTACCCCAAATATCAAAAAACATGAAGTCTATACAAGCGACATATTTGGTCCTGGAAGACTAGAGGCCTTGCATTTGAAACAAATACCTCTCTTATATTTCCAATAGTGCCGCATGTGCCAACTTTCCCAATGCCACTTCCAATCGCCCCTGGACAGGCAAGGGCAATGACAGGAAACATAATTGAATGTTGGTTGTTGTTATAGGATTTATAGGCTTATTGCACTTCCCATTAAAAAGTAATAGTGACCCTCTACCCACCTACCCGCTACCCACTTAAGGCACACCTTTTTTTTTTTGGACGTGTTTTTCAAACATCACGCCGTAGCTCGGTAAGGCAGAATGGCCCACCAGCTAATCGCTTTCCGGCCATGGTGGACCGTGGCGCTGGTAGATCATGACCCTGCCAGTCCTTTGAAGGAAATAATCCAGAGTAGGCTACCTTAGATTGTGCAAGGGCTTCCAAGTCAAACATTATGAAAAAATCCTACATTCACCTTGGGGCTTGCCTCTATGCTGGATAGTAAATTAAATCGAACTGGGTTGGAGTCGTGCTGCGTTGAGGCTCCAAGCGATCACCCTGAAGATTCTGTCCAGAGTTTTGTTGGCAGGGAGACAAAGCTCATGCCGCACAACTGCAAGAAGGAAGCGTCGGTTCACCTGCATGTCACCTGGGAATGTGGGTTGCCAACGCAATATGGGACCTTGATCAGGTTATAATGAAGTCTTGGGGTGCTACAGGCTTGAAGCTTCCATCTTCCAAAAAAATGAAACCCCCAAACATTATACCGAGGAGCTGTCAACTGGAGCAGTTGCTTTGTGGAATTGACGGTCCCAAAGGATGACGTTCAAACAAATAACAACGACTTTTGCCCCACTCAAAGTGTATCTTGCGTCATCACCTCCCAGTCCGATGGGGCAATGGCTCTTCGAAGTCACACCTATATGAAAGGGCTTGTTGGCTTCCCAATGATTCCAAAAATGTTCAATATCTTCTCGGGGAATCACGACCTTCCCTGTGGCAAAGACATGATGTAAAATTTCATGTGGCAGCACCACTGGAACTCGTAGCTGAGCAATTCGCCTTTTGCTTCCAGGTGTTTTGGACTTGTCCCTGACAGGAACTCGAACAAAGTATGGATCCTGAGATAGGAAAAAGCATTCAATGAATCAAGTACCGGGAAATGACCAAAGATTATCATCCAAAGAAAAATGCCGGTAAATTTGAAATGACAAAATATATATTCTTCAATCGGTGGAGATGCTATCGGAAGATCAAGTAGTCTAAATAAATCCCTTTCAGCATTGTTCAAGAATCTCCCGCTGGATCCGATCCTGGCGATTGATTTTGTAGTTTGGGAGCAATTCCCCCCTGACTCTATCACAATAGCAGCTGCCGATTTCTGTAAATCAGCCACCGATGTCGCACCACGTCCCAAGTTTGCAAGGGCGTGGTCAGCCCAGGCAGTGGATCCTCGGCCTTCTCTGTTCACATCGTCTGCACCTGCGTGGGATGCCGTGGCTGTGCTGGAATTTGGAAGTTGTTTCGCATCTTGATTGCAGATGAGTGGATGAGATGGGAAACCACATGACATCACACGAGTTGTCAGCATGTTTTCCCATTGTGCCGCCAAGTGTGCTTGCAATTCCCTGAGTTGGAAAATGGTGGTGCCAACTCCATGCCGTGTTCCTTCCCGATGCCATGTAAGCCTGCCCCAACATATGACGAACTCGTGTGATTCTGGTTGAATGGCAAAAAAAACTTGATGCGATAACAGAAACTAGATTGAACTACATCGAATTGGGTATGGCCTGGCATCAGGTTCCAAAAACCGTCAGACTGTCCAATGCCTGGACCATCGACTGCCTCATGGTTTGTCGCACATAATTGATGAGACCTGTTTAAAATTTAGTTTGACAGCTTCCAGCCGAAATCCAGTATCCATTAAAGATCTCTGACTAAGCATCCCCTTGACCAGTTGGCCAGAAAACAAAAGTCGGAGTTGTAAGAACCATCAAATGTCAAATCAAAATTATATGGTAACGCTGGCCAACTGTGCACCCAACTTCAAGGCATCCTATGCCGCTGGCTCCGGTGCCGAAGGAGCACTCTGAGCCTTGGCTTTCGCCTTGGGCTTCACGGCATGTTTTCGGCAAAACTTCGCGGCATCTTTGTACGACAGAATTGTTTCAGCCAACAAGCGGGTCTGGTCACGGATAGATTCATCTTCCTTTCCACTGGCTACAAATCCCTCCAAGGCCTCACGACGGGTTTCCATATCACCCAAGTACTTGTTGCAGTCAGCGACCAAGGCATCGATCATGTTCGAAGGCCTGATTGGTAAAGCCATAAATAGATATATAGGGGGGAAACCCGCAACATTTAAAGAAATAAAATTTTCCCGCCCATGTAGATCCTAAGACCCCTACGCACCAGCATCAGTAAGCCGTGTCTTCCACGACTTGCATTCCAGAATGCAGGTGGACGCATCTTTCATAGCCTCACTGATATCAGAAACAACTGGTACAAATATTGCGTCGATCCCATGGCTATTAAATACTTCTCCTCAAACTCTGACACATTAGATCAATAATATTTTGGTTGTTCCCTCAAAGAAGCATTTGGTATTCAGGGGAAAGGATACAGTGAGAAAACGTGTATAGCCAGGTCTTGGCATAATACATGATATATCCTAGGAACTTTGGTCGCTTCTTGTTGGGCAGTCTTGGCTTTCGGGATTTTCGGTCCAGGTTTGGGAGCAGGTTTGGCTTTGGGCTTCGGGGTTGCCGAAGGAGGATCTCCAACGGGAACGGTCAGATGTCCTTGTGGTGGACCAGCAGCGATAGGATCATGCCTCAAGAAAAAAAACATGGACATGCACCCCTAGTTCTGTGCCAAAACCACAATAAATATCGAACATCATTGGGGATAGGACGCCAAAGACTTCGCAGTAGCTCCATCGATCACACCAGAAGATGTAGTAGTGGTGGAATTGGCCCTTAAATTCCTGTCGGTTTCCTCCATGGCGACCCAACACCAATACTCCCTCAAGTCCTGCCATAGGGTGATCACCGAATTGAATTTTGTAAAACTGTGGTGCAATCTTGAACTTGAACCCCATCAAACATATAACATGTGGATTTAGGTCCTGATTGCCCGGAAAGTCAGGGTTGGCAACAAAAAGATTGGCTTCAGTCTTTCGGGCGATCAAATCGTCGACCAGGTCTTTGTCACCATATTTGTCCATCAGAGCCTCAAGCACGAGCAGGCATAAAGGTACTAAGACATCAACTCTAGGGAATCATATGTGTATAATGTATAAATATTTTAATATTTGGGGAAACCTTACAAGATCTGTGAACATAATCATACATACGTATACATATATCATAATATATATATATACATATATATATTATACTTTTTCAGCTTAGCATATTAGCAAAGGTTCTTTCTTGCTCATGGTTTTCCACCGGCCAGTGCGGGCATGTTCCCGGCTGGAAGTAGAGGCAACCACAAGCTCCGACTTCATCCAGTCCTCACCTGCTTGTTGAAACATGTCATAGAGCTTGTCGAACTCCACTTGGTCTTTGCCTTAAATCAAGATTTCCGGAATTTCCGGATCTATGTACTTATATATCAACGTATCTCAGAAGTCTGAGGCAACCACTTGCTTGGATCTCCTTGATCTTCTCCTTGATGATAGCAGGGCAGTGTGGACCTAGGAGAGGAAGATCGAGGGTCCTTCTTGTTTGTTAACAGTATCGACCGAATCAAAGCAACATCTTTATTAAATAATTAATACAAGCTGCTTCTGACTGATCGGTGGAATCGTCCCTTTGCAGCACGCCTCCTCTTGAAACGGACGGTCGCCGGATCATCTTCCTTGGTTTATACCCATATAGTTTCTTGGTCAGTGTTGTTATGATATCTGTTGGGCACGCTCAAAGCCCAGAGCTGAGGACGTGTCCTCTGGTGCTGGAGCTGGAGCTGATGGTGCGCTCGTCAAACCAGGAGCGGTGGGTGCAGGTGCCCCCCCAACCAAATCCACTGTGTTGGCACGTGCCAACGCTGCTGAAATCACCCCGGTTGGACTAGGGCTCGGCACTGGAACCTGGGTGTCCACAGATGGTCCTGGAGGAGCCTCACCCAAGGTCACTGGGGGTGCCATCACGGGCACAGCTGGGGCACCAGTTGCAGTTGCTGAAGTAGGCATCACACTTGGTTCCACTGAAGTTCGAGGGGAGGCCTCTGGAACAGTCACCACCTCATCACTAGGGCTTGGCATCGAACCTTCTGGAGCAGCCATGGCCGCATCACTAGAGGTTGGTGGAACAACTGGGGTCGAACCCTCTGCGACAGTCATCACCACAT